AAGTTAAATATAGTGCATAATATGGACATCCCGTCATTTCTTTTTTCACCATATTTTTTTTTACTATTTATGTACAGCCTTGCTAAATCTTGCTAAGCATTCAAAAGAGAGAATGTTTGCACCTGTTATCTATATTTTAAAATCTTTTTTTGAGTATGTTCCACTGTTCACAATTCTACAAAGTTACAACAGTCTATAGCCGAGACTGTTTGGATAATATAAAGCCAAAAAAAAATGTTCACTCCCAAGTGGCCACGAACCTGCATCTCTACCTTAAGTTACGTGATGGGCAACATTAATGCCTTGCCACTATAATGTTTTGGGTGACACTCCCCTGGGAGAAATAAATGTTTCCCTTTCGCGCATGGTAATAACATGGTAATTGTGCTTTCAGTTTCCCTGTTAGTAGTTTTTAGCATACCGATAACAAAACAAATGAACAGCTCAATCAATTATTTTGCAGTCACGTCAATGAAAATATTACTGAGATAACATTTTCAGTAATATCGGTGCTACGACCGAATATATAAAACTACTGATTTCCTCACTAGGCTGACATTAGTCGCACATATTATATATATTGGGTTATTAATGCAATTTTCGATAATGTCCCTAATTGTCACCATACAACACAAACATGGTAGAAGAAAGCAATGTTAGGTTCCTCGTGTTATAATTGCATATTCTTCAGTTGAATTGGCTGTTTCATTCAATATTGACACCCAATATATTCTTCTGTTGAATTGGCTGTTTCATTCAATATTGACACCCAATATATTCTTCTGTTGAATTGGCTGTTTCATTCAACATTCACACCCAATTGCTGAACAGTTTTGTTTTCCATGAAATGTATGTTATTTTTTTAAATATTAATAACATTTTTTTTGTTCCAGTTTTTACATTACTCTTAATGGCGCAGTGTCTGTTATGATCAATGCTCAACTTGAAGACCAAGACAATAAAACTACAAAAACTACGAAGAGTCGGAAGAAGAGTGAAGAAAAGGAAAAAAGTCGACGGATTTCCGAAGAAAAGAGACGAAAAGTGAGTGAAGAGAAACAACGCAGGGTGTCACAAGAGAAGAGTAGGAGGACGTCACGAGAATCGGGGGGAGCAGCGAGTAGAAAAACATCCACAGAAAATAAACAACCAATACAAGCTGAGAAACCGAAGCCAGTTGTCGAAGAGGAAGTAGAGAAACAAGTAGAAGAGAAACCCAAAACACCGGCGCGAAGAGTAGTCGAAACATCGTCTTCGTCTTCATCATCAGAGGATGACGGTGATGATGAGGAGGAGGACGAAGAGGCAGGCCCTACCGAACCAACGTCAAATCTTCCAAAGGAAAAGAAAAAAGATGACAAGAAATTAGACCGTACGCCGTTTGGTCAACACATTGTCCAATTAGGTAAAGATTGTTATATACCTGTTGTATATGTTGGTAAATAAGTGAGTACTGTGTTAAATGCCGCGGAGCAATGTGCAAGCCAACGCACATTGCATACAATACACATTTATTAACCCACTACCTCCACGATTAACTCAAGAATCACAATGTTGTATTAAAACATTGCCTGCAGCGAATTACCTACTGCATGTGAAATTCAATATTGACTAAACATTTATAAAGTCGTTTAATTCGCGCTGATGTCATCCGAGAAAACATTGACACTATTAGATCTTTTTTTACTCATTAAAGGCTGTTCCACACAGTGATATTGATGTTTGTTCAGTTTTCGTTTAGGCCTTTTGACCGGCTTTTGTGTAGATTCCTTGTCTATATATTAAGCGATATACTCAATTTGGCAGAGTGATTTGATGGCTAATGGATGTCAGGAAACAAGCCGTCAGTTTTTACAAGTTGAGAGAACCGCTGAGTACTAGACACTCGCTTTATATTCATTTGTCAGCTAGACTTTCTTCTTTTGTGAAGCATTCAAATTATGAAAGCTATGCTGAAAAGAATCACTTGTCATGATAAATAATAATATAGGCATTGGAGAACAGTGAATTATTTGAATAGAAAGTCATACTTCATGTCTATCATGATAGATGTGCGGAACTACGACCATGAAAATTACGTAGTATTATGCTACCTGTTAAAACTCATCTCCATGGTGAAACAGAGAAATCATCTCACTTCGAGTATTTGTTTGACAAAATGGGTGACTAAGATTGAATGCTTGCTCGTTGACCTTTATCAAAACACGCGTAAGTGAGTTTCTATTGTGGCGTATTTGACGCGTCATCCCAATTCTATGACGTAAAGGAACACGTCCTTCATATCATTGCTTTAATAGTTGACCCTTTTACGGCACGTCAGTCAGATTGTCATAAACGTGTGAATGTCCTATATGTTTTGGGGGAATTGTTTTAAAATCAATTCTTACATCTAAGTATATTACATTTAAGATCGCATTGTGAAGGTATAGTTGAAAAGGAGGTACTAGTATTCTTTAACACAAAGTATAAATTAAATGGCGGCATATAATATTTTGTCTAGTTCTTTCGTTTTTATTGCCACAGAAATATATCAAGCACATATGACAAATTCTTGCAGTGTGTTTTTATTGCGAGTTTGTTGACTTGTATATCTGGTTTGAGATTTGCTGAATTATTTTAACCGTTTTTATCGTAGGTGGTGGCAAAAGTTTTGGTGAGATCGCGTTGATACAGAAGAATTGTATCCGGACAGCTTCCATTATCGCTGATACAGTGTGTGATATCATTGTAGTCAACAGAGATCTCTATACAAGGTGTCTCAAAGCGGCGCAAGAAGCAGAATTTAGAGCCAAACATGACTTTATCAATAATTTCCCTCTATTCAAGTGAGTATATTAGACGTGTTTGTGTCCTGGATCATATAGCCCCCGCTTGTATTACTTCATTCATTTAAACAAGATGACCGCCGGTCAGCCATTTTTATTTCATGGTAAAAACAATGCATGTCTGATGTATGTGCGAAATTTAGGCATGTCGGATATATGGAATCGAAACTGCATTCTTTAAAACAAAATATGAGCTCGATCCAAAAATAAAATGACGGGCATCAGTGTTTCATTTTGTACAATATATGTGCCAAGTTTAAACCAAATCCGTTTACACACGACTGAGATCCGGTTCCGGGATAGTGGTAAAACATGGGTTTGTACATTTTCGGACGTAAAATGACTTGAATGACCACTCAGCCACCTTGAATTGGATCATGAAAAAAATGCGTGTACCCGCTTTAATGTCTGACGTATGTAAGACATTTAAACGTTTTTCAAAGCATGTGTGAGATGCTAGTGGATATTGACGGGTGAACGCACACACGTACAGAAACACAAAGATCTATCCATTAGTCCCTGTTTCCGCGCTGTATGGAACGCATTTGATATTAAGGTTGATAACTACATACATAGAGTATCGTAATGTATTAATGTTCAAGGTGGCACATGACACGTATTGCCGGCATTTAGGTATGGGCATAAGTTATCTCTACCATTTAATCGAAACAACTATCCTAAATAGACTGAACACATTTTCTATAATCGCCATGGAAACAAACTGAAAACAAATTAAGCAAATCATTTTCTATGCAATGTGCACTTAACCCCTGGCAACGGCAGATTGTTGCATTTTTTCACGTTACATGAGGTCATGACACGTTCTGACAGAATTCGATTGACCTTTGCTTTACAAACACTAATATACAGAGCGGGAGATTATGTTAAAGCGCTGTATCACTGTGCGCCGCCTAGTGACAAGCCAAGAAAACACCCCATTTTGTTTTTGTTTTTGTTTCTTCAGAAAATGGAATCCCAAATTCCGAAATCTTATAGCAATGAGTTTACGGAAAAGTCATGTACGCTACAACCATACTATAGTAAGACAAGGCGAGAAGCTACGCGGTATAGTGTTCATAGCCAAGGGACAAGCCAAAGTGTCAATCGAACCAGCCCTTAGCAAACAGCAATATCCGGAACTATTTCCACAGAAGGACTCTATATACGCTGAGCTTAGGTGAGATATTTACAGCTAAGAATGGTAAAATAACACATTTTATTGCATTCTAAATTATATTGTTACGACTCTAGTGGCTATGATCATTTTCCTGTCATGCTTGTATTTCTGTTTTCACCACAGGAAAGATAAAACTGATCTTATACTAAAAAACAACAAAACGTCCGATGTTCGGAAAAGTGGTCCCGATATTGCTCGTCGAAGAGATGGTTATGTGGCAGCAGAGAGGCAACGAACAGAGAAAACTGTTGATATATGTGTTGTTGGAGTCAATGAAATGATAGGTAAACTACGATGGGACATGGATGGGGAAACTTTATTAAAGGGCGGTAATCAGCGCCACGCATGCGCGAGACATATGGGTCTCATAAAAACAAAGATGGCGACTTTGACTGTTGCGAAGATCAACGAGTACAAACTGAGCGATACCAAGCTCTAATTAGGTATTTTTTTTAGGTGACTGGAAGGTATTGACTCACTGGCGGTAATCAGTGCAAGTTGCACCCAGGTCAAACCTCATACTTGTGATTTCCATTAGATGAGCGCATTGGATTGTGGGAAAATCAATGTTTATCAACACAAATGTCACACATGCGCAGCGCCACGACTACCGCCCTTTAACATTTCATGATGAATGTATAGTTCAGGTTCATTATTTTCATTATATCACCCAAATTAAATAGATACATCTTAATTTTGTGGATAATAGTGTAAATGATTGTATATTTTAGTAACTGATATGGCAACCGACGATTTATTTATATTTATTTATATCTAGGCGACGTCGAGGCTGTTCTCAAAATGGGAACTTACATGCAGACTGTTACAAGTATGGAAACTGTGGACATATTTGAGTTAAATTTGAATAACTTCGAGCGTCTACTTATCAAGAAAAATCCGTCAACTGTAGATAATATGAAACTTAATATAGAAACCAAATTACGATCAAGATTAGAAAGATGCGACATGATAAAAAAGGGGCAGGTGAGGCCAGTATTTTACTTGAAGCGCGATATTGCTCAAAGAGGGCGCTATTCAACTTTCTATGCGTGCTATTCAGTCTGACACATTGCATGTTTTACATAAGAATAATGTTGATTATATTGTTTATTCTCAGGTACCTATCTTAGAAACACTGGTTGAGAAATTCACAGAAATAAACACCCCAGCATCTAGGAAACCTATGAAGAAGAGAGCAGACATGGAAAGTGCCCCGTTGTTGAACGATACGGCGTATCTCAGTTCGCTGTCTGAAAGGAAAAAACAGAGGGATTTTTTGCGACGAAGGCAGCGCGAGAGGCGAATCAAAGCCCAGCAGTTAATAAAGGCACTCACGGCACATGCGGCTTCCAATATGAATACCAGTTTACATACATTAGATCACAAAGTGCTCGAAGAGGCACTTCAAACGGGTGCATTAGATGCAACGGCAACCCTCAGGACTGGTAATATTACGTTAAATCCAATGGCAGCAAAGGACGCCAATTTTAACCCCAATGCACTGACGAGCACTGGTCAAATGCCTGGTTCAATCTTGCCGTCGCAACCCGTACAACGTTCTGCCAAACCCGCACCAGATTATGTCTCAAAACCGTGGTTGAAAAGAAGCAATAGCCCGTTTCGTAGTCCGACGGTGATGTCGTATAGCAGTACTCAGGCTACGTCGACTGCCGATTCCACGTACGGGGATAGTCGAACCGATGATGAAGAGGATGTAGACAATGTTATTGAGGATAACGAGACTGAAATATCGACCCTGGAGACTAAAATCCGTGCTTGGTGCTTAAATGCAAATGGCAGGACGGCTGGCAAAGGATATTTTCCCAAACTACGGCGTCTTTCCGAGCTAGAAAGAGACCATTTATTGAGATCTAAACTTCCTCACAGATTCAGGCAGCGTTCTCATGTGGGCGGGAAAAGAGAATTTCTCCGGGGAACCACGGTTCCTGCTACAGGTTATATGTTCTACAACGGATATAATTCTGATAATTAAAAACTATCTTGACTGTCTCTTTATAAACAAGGACTATTTAAGAGTCAGTTCACGAAGGCTTTGTTTAGTGCTAATAATGTATATATACAAATAAAGCCAATATCGTCACTGTGACATGATGTGTTGCCATATGTATAAAATGAATCACTAATTTTAAAAAATGTGTAAATTTATAATTTCGTTTTTGTCACATATATATTAACTTTCTAGTAACGCGGCAGGGAATTCACCGGTCATGTGACATTCGAACATTTTTTTTATCTATCTAGTATGTCAGTGAGTATGTCGTAAATGATGCATTTCCAGATTCTAGCAAACATGTCTCTCCACTGTAATTTTGTTCCGCCAATCTCCTGTGAACATTAGGCGTGAAAGCCCTTATCCCGGACGTCCACAGTTTTTGATTCTAAATATTGCGTGTTAATCTTTTTTATAAGAATTTTGTGTGTTATTTTTATGACCAAAACTCGTTATTGAAAATGAAGCTAACATATTTTTAACGAAGTTGTCATAATTCAGGTCCCCTTTTACCAATTTAAAAGTACTATGACATCTCATATTTAATTAGGCCACTGTAGTTATGTCTGCATTTCTTAGCGTTTTGTATTATTCTGTCGGACTCCTGCGATCCATTTGAGGTGAAGCGGGTATTTGTTAAAACATGGATTCATTTACCATATATTTATGTTTTGTGTTTTCAAAAAGTACTGCTTGTTAGTGTTTATTATGGTAACTCTAAGATTTACAAGTAATACTAAGTTTATGCTAAGTTGTAAATTCTATATTATTTATCTGAAATTTGTGCCAACTAAATATTTAATATTTGTATTCAAGCTCATATCGTTATAGTTTAGACAAATACAGCTTCCATTAGAGTAGTCATAGCAACATATCTCAGATGTCAATTTGTTGCAATAAATACCTTGTAACCATGGAAACAAACACGTGGGAAAGAGTGTCCAAACTCATCACTATGCTAAACCCGTAAAAATGAGTATGTTGGAGAAGGGGTTAACGACCTGGTGAATATTTACTGTTGTGAAATGCTAGATGTGCTGAGATGAATTTGATTTAATCCATCACAGAATTTGCCAATTGGTTGTATAACTCCGTTAGAAACATCACGAAAACAAAAACAGCGGTTTTACGGAAGTGTTAGTAATACCGTTAATAGAATAAGATATTAAAACTGTCCCAGATAATTTGGCAAATTAAACAAGACGTTATTTCGCGGAGACCGTACTGTCCAAAAGACATGTTAAATGGGGGGAGGGTCATAAAGCGTCACGCACATATTTTAACGTCACATTTCTGAATCAGTGTGTATCAACATATCGCGTGATAAGGATATTGTACAGTTTCATACAATGTACCAAAGTTTAAGTCATCAGTATACCCATTCTATCATAGCGGCTATAAATAATTTATAGAAAATAATGTATATATTGGTAAATAAAATAAAACTTAATAAAATAATAAAGAATAAAAATATTTTTACGTGTGTTACAATCATGAGTGGAATATTACCTAAAAAAAGTAATGCATGTCTCAGAAGTACAGTGGAAATCCACATTTAACCGATTTATTTTGCAAACATGGACTCATATTTGACCATGAATACGTTTCATCTGTCCTCCGAATGAACAAATCGACCGTTTACGCCTGTACAGAATGATCACGTGATTTATCATGATTTACTATGATTGTATTTATTTTATTTATCCTCAGTAGCTTCATAAAGTCCGAACAAAAGCACATTGAGATAAAACTTTTTTTTTCATAGAAATATTAAAAAAACATTTTGTACAAATAAAGACTCTATTTTAATTGAACTCTGGCATAGGATTCCAGAGAGAAGACGCACTATAATGAAAATTGTGTGAATAAGGTGTATTTAAATAATCAGGGGCCTTTTCAGGATTATTTTATAAGCGCCGCTTTAAGCAGTTTTCTGCGATTACGAAAGGACATCCAGTCTAGTTGTTTGATCATACCCCCTGTGTGACATTTTGTCAGCTCCCAGCATTAGTCTTGTCACTGTTTTGAGGGATTTGTAATTTATCAAGATTTTTTCCGAATTTTCAGTCATGACATCACAGTAGTAAAAAATGAGGCACAATAAAACTATAACCAGGTGTACTATCTGACATGTTATTTACATAAAGTATAAATTATAGTCGACCCAAAAACGATCCCTCTGGAATGCTGACTCTTAAATCGTAGACAATACTATACTGCCTATGCTGTTTATGCTAAAATTCGGTAATGATGACAATTTACAATTTATGTTGAGCACTTGCGACGACCTAAACCCCGCAATGGTACCGACACCCAAACCAAATCGTCTCAATTGTTCAATTAAAATACCGTAGTCTACAGAACACCTTACTGAGGTCTATAAATACAATACCTGTCACCGTCCCTAGATGTTACGTAACTATTTAACAGAGACGTCACAAGTTAACACGCGACGTTACCGTGGAATGGTATACTAGCATCTAAAATAAGATTGACAACTTGTAACTAGTTTGTTCTCTTCTAAAAATGAACTTAGTTGAAGATGAACGAACCTTTCAAGTAATTTGGATAATACTGGAAGGATTGAAATAGGTCTTCAACTTTAGTGACGTGTTAATTATATACGACAGTGGTGACGCTGTTTGACTTCTGCCTCTTGCCTAAATGACAGACAGGAGTTTATATCATCTGAACAATATGTTTTTAAATTGACAATTTTTACTATTAAAGGATGTAGTTGTATGGAAAAATTTATCTGTTCCAGCAGCTTTCTCATTTCTTTTAATTTGTCGTGATTAGACGTAATGGAACACGTTACCGATCATGGCAATTCAGTCAATTCCGATAATATTTAATGACATATTTATGTTTATTTATTAATTTCCGACCGCGTTAATGGTTGTGCTGGGTATATTAGTTCGTATCCATAGAAATATTCGGACGACGAGTAAATTACCTGACATACACGTATACAATTATATCAAAATGAAGACCACATGGAAAAACTGCACTAAAATTGTTCCGTATTGTTATAGCAACATTAAATCCTGTTTAGATCTGGTGACGTATTGTCGGAATATTATCAATCTTTGGCTCTGTTTTATGCAGATAGTGTGATAACTCTGTACGTAATCTGAAAAAAAAACTGACATTATGATATTTT